CTCTGTCTCAATTTGTTGTTGTTGTTGTTTTGTTTTGTTTTTTGGTACCGGAGATCGTTGTGCTTTCGCTTTCGAGGCAGGTGGTAGAACCATTGAGCTAAATCCCCAGCTACATGGTTTATTTTTGAGAACGTTCCATGTTCTGCTGAGAAGAATGTGTATACTGTTATAGAGTGGAACATTTTATAGATATGTATTTAATAAGTCCATTTGTTCAAAGGTGTAGTTCAACTCTGATATTGCTTTGTTCATTCTTTTGTTTAGTTGATCTATTTGTGACAGAAGGGTAGTGAGGTCCCCACTATAATTATGTTGATGTTTATATGATCTTTTAGGTTTGTTTTATGAAGTTGGGTGCATATATGTTTTTATTTGTTACCTCTTCTTGTTGAATTATTCCCTTAGGCAATATGTAGTGACCTTCTTTGCTTCTTCTGATCAGTTTTGGCTTGAAGAATGCTAGGGAATTGTCAAGTTTATTCTGATATCCTGTCAGCTGTGAGAGCAGGTCCAGGTCCAGCAAAATCCCCACACCTCTTCTGCAGATTCTTCATTGATGCCTCCCCACCTGGATTTTTATAACTCTTGGCTTTAAGACTCCACTTCCTTGTTCTCCCACTGTCTTCAATTCTGCATCTTCTACTTTTTTGTTTTCTTTTTCTTTGCTCGTCCTCTTAATTTGAGGTTTTCTTTTGTTGTTGTTGTTATTGGTACTGGGAAAACTCGGGGCCTCGTGCCTGCCAGGCAGGCCCTGCACTGCCGAGCTACATTCCCGATCCTAATTTGAGATTTTTTTCTGTCTGGTTCTACCCCCATCTCTCTCATGTGGTCCACTACTGCTTGTGCACTGAGAGGCCCCAGATCCATATCTCTAGTCTCTTTCTTGAGCCCAGAACTGAATTTTCAGATGTCTACTGGATGCCTCTCACCACATTCAAAACTAAACTCACTGTTTTCTTATTCCAGCCATGTTCTTTTTACAATTTCTCTTATCAATTTGTCAGCATGACCAATCACCTTCTCCGTTTCCACTGAGTTCCTCTCCCCTTCTTCTTGTGTCCTCCCTGCCACTCTTAATGGGGATATGGCTGTCTGCTGGCCGTCCCTGCAGCAGATTCCTGCCTGTGCTCCCTGGTTCTGGGGAGAAGAGAAGCACGGACATTAAAACAAGCACTGTTTGAAAGCTGGGCTTTGCATTTCTGTGTGAAAAAAGAATTCTTTTGAAAAATTTTACAGATTTTTTTTAAGATGAAGTATTTATTTTCAATTATTCAAAGCAGAGGAAAAAATCATTATAGCTACAGAAGACCAATCTGTGATTAATCTTTTTCACTAAAGAATCTTTTTTCATTTTTTATAATTCTCCACAGAAGAATCAAGATAAATGAGTTTGTAGAATTATACATCAGGCCCCAAGAATAAAGATGGAGAAATTAAAACACGGGTTACTAAGAGACAGCCTATTCATTCACTCTGTTAGAGGTTAATTGTCCTTAAAGCTTGTTCTATAAGGATTAAATGTTGACAGATAAAAATATAAAAGAGTTTTGCTATTTTAACAAGGGAGTTACAGTATTGATAAATCAAAATCAACTTTGTCTTGCCCTTTTACTTAATCAAAATTTATTTCTAAAAGCATGATGATTTACTTGACTAATTTTAATCCCTTAACAGAATATATAAAATTATAGATAGGTAACAGTAGCATCTAATTGGAAAATAAAGCAAGTACAATGATTCTGTAAGTTGTAAAGTTTAAGTTCTGTTACCTGAGGTCTAACATTTTCTACTTCTGAGTGCTAGATATGAGAGTCAGAAATGGTGTCCACTGCCCTAGACACAATGTATTCTTTAAAGCCTGTAAAATTGTTCCCAGTATCCAGTTGGCTAGCATAACCAATTAGCACTTTTCTGCTCTAGGCAAAACTGACTTCTGTTGCCTCAGACCTCTTCTTCAGAGAACACCTGATTCTCTGAAGTTATTTTGTAAACTGCCTAACTCATAAATTTAATTTTTTTGCTTCGTTGTCGCTGTTCTTCTGTTTTTTGTTTTTGTTTTGGTGTTTTGAGACAGGGTCTTGCTATGTAGTTCAGTCTGGCCTTGAACTAAGTAGCCAAGGCTGAGCTCCAACTGACAGTGATCCTCCTGCCTCAGCCTCCGCAGTTGCTGGGATTACAGGTGTGTACCACCACACCAGCTAATTCAAATATACTTTATCTTTACTATATGCCAAACATTGCTCCATGTGCTAGAGAATTAATAATAGGTTGTACCATCAGTCTGGGATTGGTCCAGAAAACAGAACCTTGGCATCTAGTGTAATTGTGAAGAGTTTAATGGAGGAATCTGGGACGTTAGAGTGTAAAGGTCAGAGTAGGGCATGTGGAGAAGCAGCCCGATGCCCTGGCTCAGGGGAGGAGAGCGGTGTGGACCTTCGGTGTCCCACCACCACCACCTTCCAACGGCGGCAGGAGTTCCTGAAGCTGGCAGACTGTGGGGCTGTCAGAACTGGCGTCTAGCGGTGACGGCCTCAGTAGGGCTGGTGCTGAGGTGCGGAGCAAGCTGCACAGTGGCGCGCCTGGGCCGTGGACTCGCTCGCTCTCTCCCCGCCGGTCTGCTCCTAGTGCATCTCCGCAGCTCATCCAGGACTCTGGAGTGTTGCGGTCTTGCGTTTTTCCACGGAAGCACCTCTCAGACTGCTCCCTGTGAGCTACAGACATTTTCTAAGCATTATTAAAATTTCTTCTGATTTCTCCCAGGCCTGTTTCTGGAGCTCTCAACCTGATCCAAGTTCCCTCTTTAAACATTGCTTATCCCTTATCACTCGCTGAGCAAAGCCCCATGGTGTCAGTGCAGCAAGCATGAATTTCATCAGTAACTTCGATTCCCAGGTTTAGTAGAGAAATATACAAATAAAGACTACATGAGTAGCTCTGAAATACTAACAATCTCAATATTTGCATTTGTAGGATACTGGATACGAAGTCCATAGTGAGATTATAGAGTAGAATCTGTTTTTGACATTTGTAGAATCTGTTTTTGAAATGTTGATACAGCACTTTACCTGCTGATTCACAGCCAGTGGGCTGAAGTTTAACCTGCCAGTGGTTAAAATGACCCCTCAGCAACACTATGTGTTTCTTTTTCTGCCCATTCACCTATGGGTGGTTTTAATATTTTAACATCTTCAGTGACTAAACAAGTGATGAGTAATTGCAGTCCAACTCAGGATAGGATTTTTACCAGGAATTGTTAATTTCTTTCTAAATGACTGCATTAGAAAAACTTGGCAGGCTTGGATGTACATTTTCTGAATCCTAAGTAGCTGAGAAATAGTATCTAGTTCATGAAGCAATTGAATATGTGAATAATTATCTTAGTGTATTCTTCCATTCAGCAGAAAGATGTATACATTTTAATAGTTGAGGTACATGCTTAAAATTTATGTACTGAATAAATTGTTACTGTCAACGGTTTTAATCATGACTCATATAAAGATAATGCATACATGATTGATTTGTTTCTATCTTGGGTTTTTTGGTCCACAGTTCTTCAAATTACATTAGTTTTATGATGTGAAGGTAATGCTATCAACTCAAAATTATGGAACTATTTACACTGGGCTTCAGTACACGAAATTTGGCTAAAGATAATACCTTGCAGGAAATGGGCGGATCTGGAGATCATCACCATGAGCAAAATAAACCAGACTCAGAGACACGAGTGTCACATGTTCTGATATTTGGAGTCCACAAAGGATGATGTGAGAGTAGAAGAGAGAATGTCATTATAGAAGAGGAAGGGAGTAAGTGGGAAGGGAATGAGGGATGTATATGAGCAAAATATATGCATCAAAACCAAGTAGTTTACAAAATTAATGGGCACTAATAATAAAAACAAATAGTTTTATTTGTATTACCAATGTAGGACTTCACATCAAAATTTGAAGTCTGAGTCATGCTAATAAATTTTAAAATCTAGGCTTTTCTACAAAGATGCAAAATATTAAAATTGACTCAAGAGGAAGGAAAAGTAAAAGAATTAGGTTGTATTATATATGTGCCAACTCCTCAGAAGGAATGTGGTCATTCTGTACTGTAAACATGGACTGATAAAAAATTTTTAAATAAAATTGAGTAAAGAGAGAAATAAAAGATGCTGAAAATAGCACAGGAATTCTGAAGCTGGCTCTAGAGTCAGGTTCCCTGAAAGTGGGATTCACTCATATCTCGGCCATTTATTAGCTGTAACGTTGGCAAATTCCCTGACTTTTCTGTGCTTCAGTTTTCATAGCTGTGAAGAACTGTTAAGGAAGTTTGCTGAAATGTTACCTGTGTGGGGCTTATGTTAGTATAGGAATGCAGTGCACACTGGGGAAATGTTTCTTTTCCTCCCTAAGAAGGCCAGTCAAATTGTAGCTATGGAATGATGTCGTCTAATTTGTTGATTGTATAATAAAGGATGTATAGCTAAATATGTATGTAAAAGATGAAGCCCGATGACGTTAGTTATAAAATAACATCAGCGAGTAGATGCTCTACTAGTTCTTCTAAGATACTTAAATTTAAAAATTCTTTTTGTATTTTCTAAATATCTTCGCTATCATCTGAGATGACAGGCTGGTAATAAATTCAGGTGTTTTGTTTTGTGGAAGGTTGTGCTACGGGGGATTAGAGCCAAGTCCTTTACATTTTTATATAAGCTACATCCCTAGCCCTTTTTTATTTTTTATTTTGAGACGGGGTCTAACAAAATCATAAAGTTGCCCAGTCTGGGCTTAAACTTGTGATCTTCTTGCCTCCACCTTCCAGAGTTAAGGGTTTACAAATGTGTGTCACTGTGCTTGGCATAAATTCAGAATTATATTTAAGGTGTAGTATGAGCTCATCAAATTTATTAAATAATTATTTTGTGCTTTGAGACTTCATGTGTTGCTGTTTAAACAGAGCAGACAGCATATAGATTATTCAGTGATACATGAAAATACCCTCCTTAACAGGTAAATATTGGGAAGATGGACTCACCTATTGAAAAATGGAACCTCATAATTGGCAACCTGGCTTTAAAGCAGGTGAGTGATACGCACATTTGTTTACAGATCTTGAGTTTTTAGGTCATGGGTGTTATTCTATGTATGGAGCAAAATTCAGTGCTATGAAGCCTACCATTTAATTGTTTCAGAAGATATCAAATAAGTGGCTTGGTACCTTGAAAAAGTGATAGAATCAATGGCTTCTGAAAGTTATTTGTGTAGAAACTTAGCAACTTCTTTCAAATTTGAAAATATATAAAATATGGAAAAATATAAAAAATATTTCCGATTGTAAGTAATAGGGCCAGATTTTGTGTTAGTTTCTGTACAAATCACTATTTAATATTTATGTGGTTTGTTTATTTATTTATTTATTTATTTTTAAATGGGCTTTCCTGTTGCCCAGCCTGATCTCAAACTCCTGGGCTCAAGTGATCCTCTTGCCTCAGGCTTGTACTACCATGCCATGCCTACTTTAATTTTTTTGAAGCATACTATTTGTTTAATTAAACTGAGCTCTTTTCTACATATTTTGGTCAGCCATTTGTTTGTTTGGGTTGGCATGACAAGTACATCCAATTACCCATAACATAGGTATTAAAGCACAGGTTAAATGTAGGCCCTGGCTCTTTCTAAGCTCAGCTACAGATCTCTCCTGCCTCTCCGGTGTCCTCTGCCAGCTCCCCTTCAGAAGACTGTGTCTCCTCCTGGTGACTCAGCTAGCATAAGCTGAGGGTGTACACACTTGTATTAATGTTAGCTCAGCCAGGGCGTAAGTTGAGAATATGGTTGTAGGAATATAATTTCATGTAATACATTTCAGAGACAAAGAAGTTTTGGAATATGGGTCATGTTTTAAAAATCTGTGCAATTGTGCCTAAGATGTAAGAATCTGTGCAGAGGTGGTAATCAAAATGTTTAACAATGAAGAGGGTACTAAAAGTGCAAATTTGAAAATATATTTGATTCTATTTTTTAAATACCCTAAACCAGCGATGGCAAACCTTTTAGAGCTTTAATAACACAAACAGCCTGCTGTGGTACATAGGTTTGCCACCACTGCCCTAAACTAGGGAAGGGGCTTAACTCAGGGCCTTTGCACTCAGCCACATTCCCAACCCTTTTTATTATTCTTATTTCTTAAATTTTGAGAAAGAGTCTAAGTCATTAAGTTGTCCAGGCCAGGCGCCTCCCGCCTCAGCCTCCCAAAGTGCTGGGATTATCGGTTTGCACCACCATGCTTGGGTTAAACAACCTAAGCTCTTATGAAGTAATGTGATCATTCTAATAATTTCCATCTCAGCTTTTAGCTTTCTTCCCACTCCTTGTCTCCACCTTTCTCTAGTCACCCTTTCTCCCTGCAGCTGCTCATGGTGCTCACTAGAGCTGCCTGGGGATTTGCTGATCCTGGTTGTCATTGCCCAGTGCCTGTCTTTGTCTGCTTCACTTCTCATGGATGTGTGAAGACCAGGGAAGCCATTGTGCCAGCCAGGGTTGGAACCCAGTTAGCAGCAGACAAAAGCAAGAGGAAGAGAAGACTGAGGGTGCTGGGTGGAGTGAGGGGTACAGGTTATTCTCTCCCCCGGTTTTCCTACTACAGCTTGTTAAGGAGATGAATGTGTGTCAGGGCATGGTCTAAGCTGGCATTCTCGCCTCTTCTTGGGTACAGAGGGTAGATGTGAAACCGGATCCTTCTGCCTCAGCCCCCCACAGTGTTGGCCTGCACCATTGTATATGGCTGTGCAGTTGTATTTGAATGTCTCTTTCTCCAGTGAGCAAGAGCTCTGTGCACCAGGGAAGATTTTCTGACTACTGTTACAGCCCCAGGCAAAGCTTAGTGCACTGTACATGGTGGAATCTGAGCAAGTTCTGGCTGAAGCCTGGTTTGGAGGTGCATTCCTATAATCCCAGATACTAGTGAGGTCGGGAGACAGGAGGCATAAAGATTTGTGGCCATCCTGGGCAATTTAGCCAAAAAGAAAAAAGGGGCCTGGGGGTGCAGGTCTGTGGTGGAGCCCATGCCTAGATGTGAGCAGTCCCCCACACTGTAAAAAACAAGCGCCAGCAACCAAAAGACCCGAACAGACAGACAAAAGCTAAATGAATTACGGATTAAGTACAGTAACCTGCCCAGGCCAAGGCGTGAAGCCAGAGGGAGGCTGCACCGTTGACCATGGCATCAGCATCGGCGTGATGCTGCCCGCTGTGTGGGCTGGTCCCTCTGAAGTCACCAGCCACTCCACACTCGCTGTCACCAGCGCAGGCCAACGTGAGCCCAGCCTCCGAAAACCAGAGTACCCAGCTTCTTCCAGAGCTGCTGCAGCTCAGTCACCTTGGGCAGTGCTTTCTTCTCACTCCCTGTAAAGACTGTTTGCAGGGGAAATTTTTAAATGTTTTAAAAGTTTCTAATTCGGTTGGATTTTATGTTTAGGTTCAGGCTACGGTAGTTGGTTTTCTAGCAGCTGTGGCAGCAGTTATATTGGGCTGGATTCCAGAAGGAAAATATTACCTCGATCATTCCATACTTCTGTGCTCCAGCAGTGTGGCGACTGCCTTCATTGCATCTCTCCTGCAGGGTAAGTGTGTGGTAAATGCATGCTTTACAGCCTGTTGTTCTCATCTTACATTTTTTTTAGCGGGGTACTAGGGATAGAACTTGGGACCTTTCACTTGCGAGGCAGGCGGCAGAACCACTGAGCTAAATCCCTGGGCTTAAAATTTTTTTTTAGACAGGATCCTTTGTATTCCAGGCTGGCCTAGAACTTGCAGCAATCTTCCTACATCGACCTCTTGAACACTGGGATTATAGACTGTACCACCATGCTCAGCTAGTCTTTCATTTTTAAATAACTTATTTCTCAGGATGGTGACTTTATTTAAATGATACCTGTTCATGATTAAAACAGAAGAAGGTCATCCCAGACTTTAATAGTATTGCCTAGAGCAGGCTTTCTGAGGCTGTCCTTGGGACTTGGACGCTCTGGTATATTCCCCCAGAATGATCAGGAAAATACACACATTCGTTTGTTTCTGTGAGTCAGATAATTGAGAAAATCCTTTCTGGAAACTGTTCATGGATTTACTGGCTCATCTCTTGAGTAATGAGTGTTCTGGGAATTCCGAGTTTCAAAAGCAGTCTCTCTATTAAAAACTTTTAAGTTTCAAGTTTCGGGAAAAACATGCCTTCACTATTTCTGTAGCAATACAAATATAACCTTATCCCAGGACAGCTCTCTCTTGGCTACAGAATGTTCAACAACCAGAAGCTTTAAAAACGACTTTTCTGATGGGTTATCTTTATTTGTGTTTGTTAATGTAAGCATTATACTAGACAACTAGTTTATGATGCAATCATCAGAAAGCCTGGCTCCTTGCTTTATACCTTCTGTCCTGCTGCCTTTTTATTACCAGCAAAGTTAGAAATGGAAGACTTTCATGCCAGGTGATCACAAAGTGTTGCTCCCTTTCTAGCTAGAATCTAAGAGTTTAGGGAATTTTTATCAAATTTAAGATGACTTCCAAAATATTCTCAAGCATTTTATTTTAGTATTTAAATTATATCAGGGGTAGTTCCTGTTCCTTACATGGAATTACTAGAGTTGAATGGGGTTAGCATTGGCTAAGAACAATAAAGTTAAGCTGTTGGAAAATATCTGGTAAAATAAAAATTATTATAGTATAGCCGGGCATGGTGGCGCACGCCTGTAATCCCAGCACTTGGGAGACTGAGGCAGGAGGATCGCTGTGGGTTTGAGACCAGCCTGGGCTACGTAGCGAGTTCCAGGTCAGTCTCAACTACACAGTGAGACCCTGTCTCAAAAAACCAAAAAAAAAAAAAAAATTATTATAGTATAAGTACCCTGTTTATAGGCTCACTTCTGCTTTGTGATTTGGTTTCATTTGTTCATCATCATCATTATTATTTTTAATTAATTAATTAATTAATTATTAGATTTGGTTTCACTTAGAAGGTGTTGTTTTAAAAGTTTCAATGTAGGGCCAGGAATTTAGCTTAGTGGAGCTGCTGCCTGCCTTGTAAGCACAAGGTCCTGAGTTCAATCCCTGGTACCAAACAAAAAAAGTTTTCAATATAAACCATGTGTGGCAGTGCACCTGTAATCCCAGCACTCTGGAGGCTGAGGCAGGAGGATCACTGTGAGTTCGAGGCCAATCTGGACACCATAGTGAGTTCAAGGCTATCCTGACCTAGATAGCGAGAATCCATCTCAAAGACAATAAAAACTTCATTTTTTAAAATTGTGTACATTTGTCTAAAGCTTCTTATTTTGAATAGTGTGTGTTCTGGTTTTATGGTGGCCTAAATGTTTAACAACCTTAATGTATGTGAGACAGGTAGAAAACCCACCCAGACAAACAGCCTGTCCAGTTCCATCTGCCTGCTAGCTGCAGAGCCAAATAAAACCTGGGCTGCCTCAGTCCTGCTCTCTTCTTCCAGCCATGCTGCACATGAAGTTCTTGTTTTCAGATGAAAAGACATGAGGGGCACTGTCCTGGAGAACTGCCCACACCTATCTTTAAATGTGCTGATTTGGGAAAAACGGTTTCTGTTATCGTTACAATTACATCTTGCTGGACTATTGCATGACAAAATATTTTTAAAACTTTTCTGTTTTTTTTCTTGCTGTTTTTGCAATGATACTATGAAAAAGAAAGTCCAGTAACTGAAAAAGCTCCCAGAGTATAAGATACAAGTTATTATTGATGTGAGACAGAATTCTGCGTTGTATAGCTATGTTCTGTTGGATACAGTAAAAACATCGGTCTATAATCACAAGCGGTATGATCTCAGGCCAAATTTAAACCCTGTTCTCCAGAACCTTAGGTATATTATCCATAACTTCAGCATGCTGGAATCAAAATGTATGGTCATTTTATTCTAAAGGTACACTGAGATTCTGTTAATTCTTTTCTATAGATAAATTTAGGTTTCATATTGACTTATGGTTTGTACTTAAATCAACTAAACATTTACAATTTTTTCTGTGCTGAATCTTCTTAGTGGACATGTTGGCAGGAGCCAGGTTTGTATAATTGGAATGGACACAAGCATTACTTTTCTCCCTTTGATACGATTCAAGAAGATAAGGGTTTAAAAGTGCCACTACAGAGTCACTTTTTAATTTTCTATTATTGTATTTTAAGGTTATAGGCAGAAATTGGGGGTTTGAAGCATCTCTTTTGTCTGAGTGTTGTGGCATATGTCTGTAATCCCAGCTACTCAGGCAGCTGAGATAGGATAATTGTAAATTTGAGGCCAGCCTTAGCAATTTAGCAAGACTCTGTTCTAAAAAATGGGGGACTGGGAATGTAGCTCAGCACTCCCTGGGCTGAAAACCCAGTATGGTAAAAACAAAACAAATTAACCTCAACAACAACAAAACCCTATAACTTTTGCAAAGACCATTTCTTGTGCTCAGTACTTCACTGTTCAAAATTTAATTACTTCCTGCTTCTTAATCCTCAACAATAATAAAATGAAACAGACATTTCTAGCTACCATATGTGAACAAATCTCTTTTTGTTGGTATTCTTCCCAATTGCTATGCGTATAAATAGGACTCACCTTTCTTTGGTGTTTTCATACTTTATTTGAAGGTTAAAATGTAAGTCTTTGAGCTTGATACACACAAATATATTACATCTAAAACATACATCTATGGCATCTAAGATTATTACCGAATTGGAAATTTTAGCTCTAATACCATTTCACAGTAGCATTCAGTTTTTTAAATGCAACATTGAGCCTCTCAGATCTTCCATGATTTCCACTTGGAGTTTGTTGAAAGGTGTTTAGCCAAAGCATTAGAGGAGTAAAATGTTTTGTTTGTGTAATCAGCTTATCCAAGCAGTCTAACCAGAACTGATACACTGTCTATACTGTATGTTCTAGTATTTGGGGTATTGATTTTATTTGAATCATAGCATCAAAAATAATGAACATTCTTTTTTCCAGGAATAATAATGGTTGGCGTTATTGTTGGTTCAAAGAAGACTGGCATAAACCCTGATAATGTTGCCACACCTATTGCTGCCAGCTTTGGTGACCTTATAACTCTCGCCATATTAGCCTGGATAAGTCAGGGTTTGTATTCCTGTCTAGGTAAGCAGACATGAGACTAAATTATATACCCAGAGTGTTGCATAGCTGCTGTGTGTTGTGGTTCTCACATATTTTTTTTCTCTTATAGAGTTTGTAACTCTGTAAGTTTAGGGTTTTCATCTCTAACTTCAGATTAAGGAAACTAGGATCTCAGATGTTCTGGGTTCTGGCCACACACAGCCCTGGTAAAAAGGTTGGACACAGTACTGTCCATGATCTCTGTTCACTCTCCTAAATGCTCAGCCAGCCACAGTGAGTCTGTTTTGTGTCCTGCCATACCATCAGAGAATGTGAGGTTATGGCAGCACTTGGGATTCCCCAGTGTAATGCTCCCCCATCAAAAACACGGACCACGTTTGTGCAGTGGGAGTCATCACACATGTGTCATTCCTGATGCACAGCGACAGAGAATTTCTAAGATCTAATGGGGGCCGGGGATTTAGCTTAGTGGTTCTGACACCTGGCTCAAAAGCTCAATACCTAGTGGGTTATTTTAATACACATTTGTATTCTGTGACTGCTATCAGTGGTAAATGAATATGACTCGTGAACATTGGCTGAATGCTAAATGTTAGTTGTGTTTTCATTTTTTCCTGATGCCATATTTAAAAAAAGTAAATAGTAAAAAATAAGATAATTTACAAGCTAAGCCAGAAGTAAACCTTTATTCAGATATCCTTACATATTTTATGAATTTATAGAGATTTGTGGTATACTTTAAAATAATGTGTTATACTTGGAATGGGTGTCTAGCTCAGTGGGAGAGCACTTGCCACACTTGTCCGGGGTCCTGGGTTCAATCAAGGAAAAAAAATGTATCTGAGACTCTTCCTTCAAATGCAGTATATTTTAGGTATTTGTTTGTTTGTGAGTACTGGGCCCTGTGATGTGAGGTAAGCACACTGCCACAGGGCCACATCCCCAGCCATTTTTATTTCTAGACAGGGTCTTAGCTAGCCAGGCTGGCCTTGACCTTGTAGTCCACTTGCCTCTGCCTCACTAGTAGGTGGGATTTCAAATGGGTGCCACCACACCTGGCAGAGATATGTTCTTGAGCTAAATAAAGGGCTTTAACTTACCAAATGCAATCATTTCTACAACTTCAGGACCAAGAAAAGCTTCATTTAGTGTATAAAATTGTCTTAAGTTATTTACTAAGTGGCATAAAAGCAATATTCAGTAAAACTTGATAGGTATATTCAGGGAAATTTTTTAAATTTAAAAGACAAAGATGCATCCGCTTGAAGTAGAAATAAGACAATAAGTGATCAGATCAATGACCTAAAGGTAAGACCTCATTCCCATAGATCTTGGCTTTTCATCATTGAACAAAGAATGATATATGTTTAAGTATATTCGGGGTAGTGCTCAAATCCCAACCACTCAAATTTTTTTAAAACATAGGAAATTAGTTATTAAAGAGATAGTCTTAAATCTGCTCTAATTTGTATTGTTGGGATGATTAATCGATCAGGTTTTTCCCTTCTCTAAGTTATTATACAATGTATAAGACATACTAAAGTCAGGGATTGAAACAGTAGCTTATGGCCGAGTATAGCGCAGTAGTCTCTCACCCATCAGCTCACAGGCAAACAGCCAGACAGCTGTGGTCCTCGCCCCACATCTGGCGAGCAGCTTCACTGGAAGAGAGACTCAGTGCTCAGGATCCCCAGAGAAAGCATGCACTAGAGTCTTAGCACCCATTTCCCTGGACACACCAGTTAGATAAGAAGGAAGGAAGGAATTAAAGAGGATGAAGGGCTTCTCCCTGGCGTTATGAAGAGGAAAGCAATCCTATGGCTCTGCTCGGAACAGTGAAAGTGAGGGTAGGGATGGGGTCTGGCAGCAGCCGTGGGATGAGTGTGCAGGACAGGGAGGTACACTGCAAAGACTTGGGCACTTCGTTACCATTAAGTTATTTGTACCCAGTTCTCAGCTGTTTGCTAAATGCCATGGTGTCTCTTTGGTTGAGGACACAGTGGTAAGAAGAGAATGCCATCAAAGAATGTTATTATAATAAATATGACAGTTGTTATAATGAATAGATGAAATACAGTGCAATTTCAGAAGATAGATCAGCTGTTCAGGAAAACAATGTGTACTGATTTTTTAAAATTTTAATTTAAAAATTTCATGAAGTGATAATCTCTCATAAATGATTTAATCATACTATCTTATTGTCTAAAACTTTCAATATTTTGAGTGTTATATAGCAATGTACATTTTAGATCGAGGAATAAAAAAGTAAAATATATTTATTACCATACTTTTGAAAAATAGTAGTATTAAATATAGCTTAGGATTTTCTGTGCTTTTTCTTGTCCTTTGAAAGTTAGAGTAATTCAGGGTGAGTTAGAGCAGGTCTTTTACATTTCATCTATATTGTTAATACCCCCAAAGGGTTTTTTAAAGTGTTTTAGAGATGGATGATGCCACAGTTGATCTAACAGTTGGAGGAGCTTCTGAGCACCATTGTGTGGGGATTGCTGAAGCTCTGTGTCGTGAACACTAGGGGGCCTCATACAACCAACAGTTGCTACCCCTCATTTTTATTCTGAATATAGACTGGAAACACCTCATTTAACTTCTAAGACTCATTTGTCTTGCTGAGACGCTATCTCTTAGAAACCAAGGTTAATTCCTGAACTGAATTGAAAACACTTAGCAATTCTAGAGAGAAAAAGGGAGATTACTTGGTAGCTCCAGAGTTTGGTTATAGAGACTGTGTATTAGAACTGGAAGTTAAGAAAAGTCTTGTGGTATTAGTTAATCGTGAGAATATAACAGTTTTTTTAAGATTTTTCCTTATACATCGGTAGTACATAATGATTACATTCACTATAGAGAATTAGTATATGTCATAACACATTTCAGTTCTTTATTTCCCCATCCCTCCCCTTCCCTCTTATTTTTTCAGCCTGGAATTTATTTCTTTTTTCTTTTTTTTTTTCAGCTTTAATTGAGTTTATTGGTACATTTTAGGGATACAGCACAGTTACATTCATTGTTGGGATCTTGTACCTCTACATGACAGGTCTTGATCCTCATTTTTTCCCCTTACCTCTGCCCTCCCTTCACCCCCTCCTCCCGTCCCCATCTACAAACACTTTATTTCCATCTTTTCATTATCTCACATTTTTTTCTTTTCCCTTATTACCCTTCCCCTACCCATCCCACCTTCCCTACACCTTTAGCTCCTTTCTTCCCGTTTCTAAATGTCAGTAATCTTATTAGGATTTTATGTATTATTGCAGATTATTCACACTGGAATTCATTTCTTATAAGAACTTATAAAGTTTATTATTATATATACAGATTCAAGAGGCAATTATAAAATATATTTACCTAGCATCAGTGAACCTAAATATATAAAGTAATTGTTAACAGATCTGAAGGGAGAAATAGCCAGTAATACAGTAATGGAGGACTTCAGTATCCCACTTTCAACAATCAGTAGATCATCCAGACAGAAAATCAGTAAGGGAGCATTGAACTTCTAGGTCAACGTGGGTATAACAGACATAAGCAAAATATTCCATTCAACAACAGCCAAAACCAATTCTCAAGTGTGCATGGAACAGTCTCATCAAATTATATATTAGGGTACAAAATAAATCTTAACTAATCAGAAAGGATTGAAATCATGTCAAGTATCTTATCTGACCATGATAATATGAAACTAGAAATCAGTAACAAGAGGAAGACTGGTAAATGTATAAACCTGTGGAAATTAAACATGGGCCTGAACAACTAGTGGGTCAGACAAGAAGGGCAAAGGGGAAACTAAAAAATATTTTGAGACAAATGAGTATGGAAACATACCAAACCTATGAGGTGCAGCAAAAGCAGTTTTAAGAGGGAAATTTATAGCTATACGTTCCTATGTTAAAGAAGAAAGATCTCAAACAACCTAATATTGCTCTTAAAAAAAACTAGAAAAAGAACAAATTAAACTTGTTATTAGGAGGAAGGAAATAATGAAAAACAAATAAATAAAATAGAAAATCTGTAAATTAAATACAAAATATTTTTCTTGGGACAAAATAAACAAAATTGACAATGCCTTAGCTAGATCAAAAAGAAGTCTCAAAAGCAGAAATGAAAGTAAAAATATTTCAGTGGATAAATCAGAAATAACAGGGATCATAAGGACTATTATGAATAATTATATACCAACAAATTAGACAACCTGGAGGAAATGAATAAATTCCTAGAAACATACTCTACCCAGACTGAATTAGGAAGAACTAGAACACCTGAATGGACCAATAAAGAGATTGAAGTAGAAATTTAAAACCTCCCAACAAAGAAAATTCCAGGACTAAATGGTTTCACAGGTGAATTCTACCAGACATTCTAAGAACTAATATTAATTCTTCTTAAATTCTTCCCAAGAATGAACTAGAGGAAATACTTCTGAACTCATTTTATGAGGCCAGCTTAACCCTGATACCATCACCAAAGACACCACAAGAAAACTTTAGGCCAATAGCTCTGATGAACATAGCTGTAAAAATCCTCAATAAAATACACTGGAAACATTGTACAGCATGACAGTGGGGGATTTATCCCTGGGATGGAGGTGCTATTAACAGGTGCAAGTCAGTGTGGCACACTACATTGACAAAATGAGAGAAACACGATTGCCTGAGTGCTGGAAAGGTTTCTGACAACGTTCAACATCTTTCCCTTTGTAAATCACTACTGGGGATTGAACCCAGGGCCTTCACACTGAGCTACATCTTCAGCCCTTTTTTCATTTTGAGACAGGGTCTCAACTAAATCACAAAGTTGACCACACTGGGCTTGAACTTGCTGTTGTACTTCTGCCTCCCAGAGTGCTGGGATTGCAGGCATGTGCCACCATACCTGCCTTCAACATCTTTTCTTGACAAGATTCTTGCCAATTTAGGTATAGAGGGAAATTTTTCTTAAAATGGTAAAGGCCATTTTTAAAAGAAAAGCCTACAGCTAACATCAGAATTAGTGGGAAAAACTGA